AGAGAGAGAGAGAGAGAGAGAGAGAGAGAGAGAGAGAGAGAGAGAGAGCGCTGAAGGTTTGAAGAGAAGTAACTGCTGGGGCAACCTGACTAAAGGAAAGAATGAAACTGCTGGGCAGTATGGAGGGCTGATCAGAGGTCTGTGACAAGGGACAAATAGTAACACCGATCTACCTTATGTAAGATTTCAGTTTATCCAGTGTTGTGGTACTACCATATGGGTTTGATGAAGAGATGATGGGACAAAAAATATTAACATTAGTTAATTTTTACTAAGCATATTACTATGGGCCAATACCTATAAGTACTTTAGAGGAAGGGTTTGTTTAAGCCTCATGGATAACTCTATCCAATGCAATACTAATGACATTATTTTCATTTTATAAGTGAGGAACCAGAGGCATGAACTAATTAATTTCTTGACTGTGATCACTAAGTGGTAGAACCAGGATTCAAGGCTTGAGATTTCACTGTAAAAAAAAAAAGGAACTGAAACAAAACAAATTTAAAAAATAACATGAGAGAGTAGAATGTGTGTGTATAAAATTTTAAAATAATTCTTATGTCAACAGAGCAAGGAACCATAAAATTACATACAAGCGGTTTTCTATTTTAGTGTTAGATCAGTTGATATGGAATTTAAAGACTCACCAAATCTAGAACTTAAAGAGAACAGCAGCAAGCTGACTTATTTCTCATTTATATGCCAGACATTATGATATGTTTTCACATGCTATCTCATTTACCCTCAAAATGATAGCACAAGCTGATCTATAACCTGATGAGAAAAATGCTCAGAACAGCTCAATAATTTGTTAGACCTTTTTTATCAAATCCCTGAAAAATGAAGTGGCCTCTCCCTGACCCCCTTTGCCACTAAGCCCTTACAAAACCAGGGGTAATAGGCCTGACTGAATTCACAGAGCAGAACAAAAAACTTTACAGCTGTTTGTTCTCACTGGAAATTCTTTCTAAACATTGCTTTATTCTACCGAGCAAAGAAAACTAGGACAAGCTCTTATCACTACATTGCAACTAAAAATCAAAACTAAAGAAACTGGAAATAAAAATTTGAAAAGAAGGTGAAACCTTGGAAGAAAATCATTATATCTAATTCCTAAACATAAACACTGAAATAACAAGTCACTAGACTTGTTAATTTTGCAGTGACACAATTAAGCTTGATGAATCTAGCTTCATTCTATAATCATACTAAAGTAAAAAAAAAAAAAACAGTTTAATCTCCCTGAAAGTTATTAAACAGCTGGCTCAAGTCAATATTTTCCAAATTGTCTTGCTTAACATGTTGGACTTTTTTTCTTGACTGATAAAAACAAAAACCAGCAATATTAGGTGTAAAAAAAAAAGTGGAATATACATCTGACAAGCTAATATCCTTAAACAAGACTGGCTGTAATCATGCACCACAAGGATTTACTATTAGGAAAAACAGATGGCAGCTATTAGACTATAATTATTACAAAAATATTTATATTAATATGACATCCTCTGTCACTGAACATACAAGAACTTAGACTTTAAAAACCTGTAAGAAAATATTCAACTTTCATCTTTCATGTTTGTCATTTAACAATCCTTACTTAAGAAGATATGTTGAGTAATAAGGCCTTTCAATATTTCCCATTTTGAAACACAAGTGCTAAATTAAGAAATTTTTTAAGAAAAATTAAATCATTCCCTTTCAGTCTTCCATTCTAACTATTCAGTAACTATGTGAACAATTAAGATTTTATTCACATAGGGCTGAGATTGGCCCTCACAAAGGAAATACTATTTATTTAAAGACCAAAACCACCTCCCACACCGAGATGTACCATCCAACTAAATTTGACAGGCAGTCACATTGTGTTTTGAAATGCTTTGCATCTTAAAGGAAAAAAACAATAAAAAAGTTTCACTTACCATATACATTAGTATGTCTCTAATCATCACCATAGCTGTTTGATGATCATTCCAAGCTTGATTTAGCGTTTGAAGAAAGTTGTTATTCAATGAATTTAGTACATCTTCTCGCACCTAGTAACAGAGGAGTTCATTAGTTCGCATCCAAACACATATACACACACTAATATATATATATATACACACACACACATGCACTTATCCACTTAATAAAATAATAAAGTGGAATCCTTAATTTTCAATCAAAGAAATGTTACAGACCAGTAGAAATATAGTATTTTAAGCTATAATCTATACACATATGACACCAAATATGTATGTATAGTCCAGACTTCTTTTTTGACCTCCAGAATCATAAAGCAAACTCCTAGGCATTTCTCAACCCTCCAATGACTTAACACTACAGTCAGAACAAAATCCTTTATTCTTACAATGAACTATAAAGCCCTATAGAACTGGCCCCAGGCTAATGCTCCAACTAAATTTCCCACTATATCTCCTCTCCTCCCACTTTGAATAATGATTGAGTACTGATTCTGGAGTCAAATTACCTGGGCTCCAATCCCAGCTCCCTGACCAGCCGTGTGATCTGGGGCAAATTATTTAATCTCTGTGCCTCAGTTTCCTTATATGTAAAATAGTATCCTTCTTTTAGGATTGTTGTAAGGACCAAATTAACACTAGTAAACACACTTAGAACAGTGCCTAGCACTTGCCGAACACTCAATAAACATCAACTATTACCTTAGTACACTCCAGTTTCAATGACCTCCTTGCTATAAATATAGCAACTGGGCTCTGCCATTTCTTCTGCCTCGATTCACATGGCTCACTCCCTCAATTTATTCTGCTCAAATTTCATCTCTAGAGAAAGGTCTTCCTTGACCTCTCAAATAACCCCTATCTCTACTTCTTTACTTTACAATTCATTTTTCTTCATAGTACTCATCATTATCTACATACTATATTACATATTTATTCTTTCTTCCACTAAAATGTAAATGTAAATGCCTACATCGTAGCAGGATTTGTCTTTTCCATGTATACCTCCACACCTACAACAGTGCCTGGTATATATGTAAGATCATTTATTTCATCCCCACCTTCAATACCTAGATTCACCTTTGACATGATAAGCACTTTTAGGACATCTGCTTATGCACATAAAGTTTGAATCTGAAATACTTTCCTAATTCAATCCTGATAAAAAGACTACTCAGACTTCAAGAATTCCATTCCACAGTTGACAAGCTTAGTACCATCTTCTCCAGGTTGCTGACCACTACTCCTTCCTGCTATGCTATCAGCCCAATGGAAAGATCATTTAACTAGTAAACAGAATCTAGATTCTAGTTCTAGCTTTATCATGAAGAAGTATGTTTGTCCTCTAAGTTCCTACAATACTTAGGGACTATATTGCTAGCTTCTCCAGTTATTCAAAGCCAACCAACCTTCCATGGCCTACCTAGACCATCTATAACTCCAGTCTAAACAGACATCTTATATCTCAAAATATCGTTTACCCTAGATAATCTGCACTAGTGGGGTAACCTTTTCAGGTTCAGAAGAATAAGAAGTCATGATGCCTTTTGAGAAACATGAATTATCTACTATGTATGTTGAGATATACAGATATCTATAAAACTGAATTATAAATACATTTAAATAAAATGCCATTCTGTATTAGATCTTGTATAAACAAGTGGTTGGAAGTACCAAAGATTAAAAGAAAATATACAGAACACACTATGGGAGATTAAGTTCAAATTGAGAAAATTGTATCTACTTTATTTTTTCTTATGTACTAGAGGAAATGAGGTCATCAGACTTAGTGATGAGACAAACATATCCAGTTTACTAAACATACAGTATGAAAACCACTGCCTATACCACATCATTTAGAATTTGCTTACAAATTTAGTCTTTTGTTCACAAGACTAAGCTCCTCAACAGCAAGTTACACCACCCAGAAATTGCTCCACAAATACATTGACTTTATCAAAATGATAAACATCCATATTGGTTAGTTAACAATACTATGTTAAATACTTTTACACAAAATGGATAATGTATCATTTGTTTCAACTCATTAAATCTGACACTTGTCAGATGCAAATCCAAAGGTAGCTAACACTAAAAAAAGCAAGTTGAAAATGTGCTTATTTATTTACAAAATTCTACACCAAGCTGCACATTTCTTCAATTAACCAATGAAGCCTATGGTTCATCAACAATGAACCAATGTACCGATAAAATTATATATTCCAAACACCAGAGTATCTACCCAATTATTCTTAAGGACTTAAATGAACTTTTACATACTTCTTTATAAAATAAAGTTAAATATTAACTATTAAAATCACCCTGATTTTGGAACACACAAATGTGCTTGGCATATTTGTTGGATGAATGAAAAACTGAATTAAATAAAAAGTTAATGTT